AAAGGAAAGAGACGGAGAATAAGCAGGTCTGGGTGTGCTCATCTTATAAGTACCTTCAAATCAAGCAGATCCTCTTTGGATGGTAGAAGTTGAGTTCTCTCTTCAATCATTAGGGAAAAAAAAAAACCTCTGATAAAGTCGATTTTCTCCACTAAATGCTTCTTGCTAGGATTCCATATGTACATGATTGTACTCTTGGAATTGAAATCCAAGTAAGCAAAGCAAAATATGACTTGCGCTCTTGCACCACTAGTTATATATTGCCATGCATTGTACGTGATCGGTGATCTACCTTGGTAGATATTTTACTGTGTCGCCGGATCTATACATGTGTGTATCTTGAGACGAGAGATAGTAACACAATTGTATACACTCGGTGACAACTAAACTTGCTCTAATCTAAGATGATTTAGGGGATCAAGAAGCTTAATGATATTTTAATAATTATGTTTGATGATCTTCAAACATGGTTAATTGATGAAGAATAAAAAATAAAAACTTCAACTTCAGTTAAACAAAAGCTAATTAATTAGTATAATTATTACACTAATGAAAAGTTAAGAATTTCACCAACCATCACGTCTTGTGATTAATTCATTGTATACTTCCATGCTTAAAAAGGCTAAGTTTGAGCATGGAGTGAGCAGAAATAGCTAAAGCGAAACTCTTAATTTGTAGCGTCTTATATGAAACATTAATTTATGCAATTACTTGTGATGAGAGAGATAAACGATAATAATGCATACAAAACGTCGCTACCACACGTTGCAAGCAAGTTTTCTACTAACATGGTGAGTCATATCACTCAAGGCTGGCAGACCTTGTAATTCTTTTCCCTACAAATGCTTCTACTTTAAAAAGAACCAGAAGTGAACCAAATCAGGTATGCGTATTATCAAGTTCTCAAAACTGCAAAAAGTCTTGTCAGCTGTGCCGAATTAGGCATACGTACATAGACTATCAGTTTGATTAGAGTCTTAGAGTAGCATAGTTTTGACATAAATCAACATGCAGATTGTGATTGACATTATTACTATCAAATATTCTTTTTACTTATCCTACATCTATTATTAATTTATGTTTTTTGATATTTTGTAATTTATCTGATTTTACGATTAAAAATTAGAAAGATATGTGAAAAGTAAAAGAATGTGTAGGTGTATCACACTCCATATTTTATGGACAGAAGGGGTTTGCACTGGAAGCAAAAAGAAAATTTTCATTCTGACTAGAACACAGGTGGTAAACTGTGTGTCATTATTTAAGTGGAGGGAAATTCAATGAAAATTATATCGGCACTCTAAAAATCTTATTATGCACTGTTAACTTTTTATTAACATAAAGAAAAATACATTTGTGAGGAATGTTCAATGAGATTTTTCGAGTGCTAACAATTCCCAAGTTTTATTTTTTATGTTGTTAATTTTTTTAACACAAGTATCTCACCACTTCTATAGTAACACATAACTCTGTGTTTCAGGTACACTAAAAAGTCTCTTAGAAGCACGGTTCTATATTCGAAGAGAGATGCTTGCATGTACAAGCATACGATCCTCATTACACATGACATATAATTATTACAGCAACAACGTATGTAGCTATTTCATACAAAATCCTCTTGTATTTGTAGGTCAAAAAATTGAATAAAGATTCGTATATTGGATTAGCTATGAAGATATATCTCGTATAAAAAATACTTAAATCGTATATAGGATCGCAATAACTTATGAACATGATGAGAAATAACAAGAGTTGTAAAACTGAAAAAGGAAGAAAAGGTTACATGCAAAGCTGGTGATGCTTCACCATCATGCACTATGACAAAGTGAAAATATGAATGTGATAGACTTAAAATACATGTAAATATAACATTTCAGTTATATGTAATTTTTTTCTAAACAAAAGCGGTCTCTTGAACATGTAAATATAACATATCAGTTGCATGGCAAAGTTAAAATTTGAACGTGATGGAATTAAAGTATTAAGAGACACAATTTTTGCTCATTGGCATCCAAAGATTACCTCTCCTATATCTAGTTAAGTTAGTATACAACTGAGGGTAAAATAGCAAAGTCAGATGTGCACATACGAATGAAGGATGTGATTGCAAACTCCAAGCGTGAAACTATTAATTGACGCTCCACAGATGGACTTCTCTTTGGTCATTGTCCAACAGATCTTACTGATTTGAGTTTGAGAAGACCCTTCACCTTGACAGCACCTACAGTGCCTTTATTTGCTCTCTCTCTCTCTCTCTCTCTCTCTCTAGCTATTTACCATTGCAATAATCCCCAAAACCCAGGAGGCATCGAAAGAAGTAAACCAGAAGACAGACCAAAACCCAGGAAGCATCGAAAGAAGTAAACCAGAAGACAGATAAAAGTAGAAGTCACAAACTCACAATCAACCAAGTGCTTAGTTCTTGTTACGAGATAAACTTTGTTAAGGTTACTTGATTAGGTCATTTTCCATCCTCAAGTAAAATTATAAAAAACGTTATTAGTACTTCAAAAATCTTATTCTACACTCCTTACAAATATATTTTTCTTTCACAATATAAAAAATTTGAAGTGTTAAATGAGATTTTTGGAATGCTAATAACAATTTCAAAAATTATTTATGATAAGTGTCCTATAAATTATAATGATGTAGTCGTACTATTTTACCGAAGCTTTTCTTATTTTATTAGTGATATTCCTAAACAATTGTTTGACTAGAACATCTTCTGCTATCGAGTAGAATTAACGAATCAAAATACAAATATATTTTATTTTATAAGAAGTATAATAAGAATAATTTGGTCTTGAAATTAACCTTACCCAATAACTTGTTAAAAAAGCACCCACTACTAAAGTGATGGGGATTCTCTCTTCTCTTTTTTTTTATCTTCCCTCTTCTCTGCAGTTTTTTTTTTCTTCTCTCTTTAATTTTGTCTTTTTTTTTTCCCTTTATAAAGATAAAATCTTGAGCATTCAAACAAAAGAAGAAGGCAAAAAAAAAAAAAAAAAAAAGAATCCTTGTTCCTACTAGACAACCTCCTTAAAAAAGTTTCGTCGCCCACACCATCTCCCATAGTCAGTCGCTGATGAGAGAGCTTGTCCTTTTTTCTTTGTTGTAATGCCCGATGATGAGCTGAAGCCTGAGTGAGTGAGTTAAAAGTTGAGAGGATAAGGTTTTAATGGAATTAACGACAAGTTTTATGGTTTAGACCAATCCTTCTTTTAATACATTTTATTTTATGTATGAAAAATGCTAGCGATAGACCAGATTTTTAATTACATTTTGCAAATTACGTAATGTTGATAGGCTGAATTCTTTTTTTAATGATTTAATGAAAAATTTTAATCATTAATTATTACATCATATAATTATTAAAATATAATTTAAATAAATGATATTTCTAACACCAACTTTTATGTATTTGTGTGTATATATGTGTGTGGACCAGGATCCTTTCTCCCGAGCAGTTCCGTAAGGATTATAGGGATCTCGCAATCATGTCCGTTCATTGTATATCGTGTGGTCAGAAATTATTTAAAATTCAAATATGAATAGTACTTAACGAAAACTGACCGTACGATATAAAATGAACAGACAAGATTGCGGGATCCCTAAGGAACTGCTCAGGAGATGATTCTAGTTCTATGTGTGTAAGGTAAAAACGTGATATGAAGAAGTCTCCTCAGCATGCAGCACTGACTTTATTCCCATAGATGGTTAAAAAAAGCGAAAAATGCTTCTGATAATATCATGATCTGGTTTCTGGGTTTTCTCAACACACCTCACCAGTTTCTCGATCCCGAAAGTTTCCTTCTTTTATCTACTTCTGGCCACTCCTCTCTGTGAGCTTTTGGTGTTTTTTGATAAACCAACCTCCACACTGACTATTTTCAGGTAAAAACTGAGATTCTCTTCGTTTGCTTTCCTTTTTTCTGAAAGGAATGTGTTATTCATACATTTATATTTGAAGGTGAATTGTCAGTCCTCCCATTTTTATACTCTTTTCATCCTCTCATATTTTGTGTGATCACGGTTAAGTCACGTTAATATTTTATATTTTTATTACCTTTTATTTTATTATTTTTATAAAAAAATCAATATAAAATGTTGATGTGGCTTAACCGTGACCACACAAACAAGAGGGGATGAGAAGGATATGAAAATGGGAGAGCAGACAATCCACCTCCTTTATATTTATCTCTCATGCACATTTTTTAATTTTTTATTGTTGATATTCTTTAATTCATTTGATCTGATAATAAAAAATAAAAAAATTATATAAAAAATAAAAATAAATGTGTAGAATATAGATAACATTAGTTTTTTAAAAGGAAACTTTAACGAAAAGCATCTGTTACTGTTCACTTTAACGAAAAACCACATTTTTACACTAGAAAGTCAATCCTGGTACTATTCATTTTACCCTTTATTTTGTTTTTATTATTAAAACTCAAAGTTTCAAACCTTTTTCATTAGTTTTTCTTTTTTAAAATCACTCACTGTCAACCGGAGTGTCTTGTCAACTTTTTTATTTTTGACAAGTTTTATAATGAATATAAATATAGTGAGTTATTATCTCACATTTCTTTTTATCACCAACGCCTTTTATTAATTTTTATTGTTTGATCACTTTTAACTTATTCAATTTGACAATAAAAATTGAAAGATGTGAGAAAAATTATATAAAAAAAGGGCTAAATAACACCACCCTAAATATAAAAACAAAACAATAATTAACCATAATTTTATGCCTCCACTCCACTTTCTCCGTCACCCTTCCAACTCTTTCTTTTTTAATTTTAATTTCTAGCTAGTGTTGATAATTTGAAATACAGGCAAGGTAGATTCTTGATATTATTCTCTCTTGCACCTTTCAGCTTTTTGCTTCCCAAGAAATAAATAAGTTTTTATCTCGTTACCAAATACCAAACAAATGTAAATAATTATCCTCTTATATATACAGGCAGCAGGTCCATTTTTGCTCTCACTCCTCTCTCTCTCTCTCTCTCTCTCTCTCTTCTGGTTTGCTTTTTTCTAGAAGAACCTAGCTTTCAATTTTTGGACGTTATCAGAGCAACCCACCAATTGCAGATTGGAGTGGTATGATGAGCAAAAGCAGTGGTTTTGGTGGGGGAAGAAATGGTGAAGATTTTGAAGAAGGAGAGGGGGAAAACTCAAGTCTCAAGATGCTGAGGAATTCCAAAAATAATAGGTCCTCTACTTCTTCTTCTTCCTCTTCCTCCTCTGCATCTGCATGCCGCCTACCTACTGCTGCAAGAACGATCCCATGGGCCCATAATTATCCTCCAGCTGACCATGAAGTCCAAAAATCAGCTCCTGTGGCAATCCCTGATTGGTCAAAAATTTATGGCAAGAGTGCCAAGATTGGTTCTTCGGTTCATGATGATGATGATGTGTATGGTGTCAATGGGGATGGCGATGGTGATGGTGGTGTCATTGGTGATGTTGATGATGATGGCATGGTTCCTCCACATGAATGGGTTGCCAGAAAGCTTGCAAGAAGCCAGATTTCATCATTTTCTGTGTGTGAAGGGATTGGAAGAACACTCAAAGGAAGAGACCTCAGCAAAGTAAGGAATGCTGTTTTGACTAAAACTGGTTTCCTAGAGTAATTATTTCAAGGAGAGCAACTTGGAACAAGTTCATCGGCAGCGTGACGTTTCAATCCAATTAATACAATGTGACGTCACGATTTTAGTAAACCAGTTTGAAGTCATTTCTCAGGAGTTTTACCATCAAATCATTGTTATGTAGTCAACGGTTGTTTATATTTATTTTGCTTTTGTTTAACTACTGTTAGCAAATATAGTAGGGGGAAGTGGAACTGGGTAGAGAAAGGTGCCCTCTTACGGTGTGTGATATTTTCCAGTAAAAAAAGGAAGGAAAAAGTTAGAAATCATTCGGCAGCCTCTGAGATTTTGTATGGTAGTCACTATTTGTCAAGTAAACAAGGAATTATGCTGCTTATTTTGGCATTAATTTGTAGTCGACCAAAATGCGATTGTTGATTTTGGTAGAAATTTGAAAACTGATAAACGATCCTCGTTGTTAATTGAATTGAGTTTTCGTAAGAAAATTTCACAGGCATTAACAAAAATATTATGACTTACGAGATCTCTGTAAATGAAAGATACAATAATTTGATCAAAGACATCCCTCAGTATGTGCAGCCAGCTCCAACAAATGATTGGCTATTCATCTTTTGCCGACATGTAATTGCAGTAATTTATGAGAAATTGTGACCCAAAAAAAAAATGTGAGAATCAAGGGCAATACTGGGTTATCACATTTCATTGGTGCTTGCAGGTTTTCTAACCACTCAAATCCCACAAAAATCTTGCAAATTTTTAGTGTTGGGTAAACTTGGGTTGCCCTTTTTATCAAATGGAGCATTGGATCCCAAATCCTCAAGGTGCCTACCGTGTCATTGGATCTCTTAAAAAATAAGTGAGAACAAATCTGAAACTAGTTCCCGGCGAGGATCGAACTTGTGATAATTCACTTATGAAGCGAACTGTCATTGTGCAATTGAAGCTAGTTGAACCTTTTTTTTTTCTTCGTACAATGATATTAGAGGTGACGAGTTTGATTAAGTGGCCAAAGAATGTAATTCAACTGCTAATCTCCTCTTTAAATTGATTAATATATAAACAGTATTTCAATTTGATGAACAAATTGAAATAAGAAACGAAAAATAAATGCAAAATAAAAACAAGCAGAAAATGAATACGATGGTATTAGACGTGAAGAGTTGGCTAAAACAGTCAAATAATGAAATTCTACTAGATCATACTGCTTTGTCTCTTCTTAAAAAACGAATGAATGAAAATAAGAAACATAAAATGAATACGAAATGAAACCGAGCAGAAAATCTGAATCCTACCGTTACATATGGTTACTAGATAAACTTAAGTTACTCAAACACATAATTAACTTAAGTTAATATGATATGAAAGAGTCTTGAAACTGATTCACAAATTGGAAACTGCATAAACTGAAACCGACAACATGAATTTGCACACATATATTTGTCTGGTTCATGAATAATCAAACCATACTTAATGTAATTTAAATATGTTTACACAAACAATCATGCAATTTATTAAATAAATTACCATTTTTCTAATTCCGTGGGTTTGACGTACCATTTTTCTGGTCAAACAACACGAAGCTGTTTACTGTTACTTCCATGGCGAATGAGCGTTTCAGGCAGAGGGACGTTTCAGTAATTTGACATATTAAAGAGGGGCAGTTAGAGGGTCTTCATCGGTGCACCTCTCCTGTCTCTTACAGAAGGAAGAGAGAGAGAGAGAGAGAGAGAGTGGCCAACACCGTCTCAAGCAGGTGGCTTTTTCCTTCCAAATTTCCAAAAAGCTCTCCTTTTGTCTTTTATTTTTCTGGGTTTGGATTATTTTCTAATTTCCCTGAATTTTTTTTGTTTGTTTTAGCATTGCCGGAAGGAAATGTCTGTGAAGAGCAGAGGATGGGGAGGAGAGGTAACAGTGAGGAATGTGATGTCAAGGAACTGGGCACTTTTGCTTTGCTTTTGCAGCTTCTGTGCTGGAGTTTTATTTACCAACAGGTAAATTTCTCGGATGGTTTTTTACTGTTTGCTGTAAATTTGCAATTTTTATTTAACTCTTGTGCTTGTTTTGAGTACATTTTGCATTTTTTTACCAAATGCTTGGAACCCCATAACTAGTTGGCTTTTGTGGAAGAATCTGAGGAAATTATTTAAAATTCTATGTGTTTAACTGCTTAATGATGACCTGTTTATGTTCGTTGGGTGATTATTTAAGTGCTTAAAAAGTTTTGCGTCATCGATGCAAATGATGGGCAAAGACGAATGCGTGTGTTTTTTTGTTTGTTCATGTTTTGAACAATTACATTGTTTGATTTGCTTAAGGTTACATGTCAAGAAAACTCGGCATTAGTGGTTTAAGTTATGCTTGTCATAATGATCAAGAAATTTTTAACAGGTTGTGGATGGTGCCTGAATCAAGGCCATCGCGAATTGGATCTGAAAAGATATTTTCCGAATCTGATGCGTGTGATCATAAGCTTGTAAGTGTATTCATCACATGTTTTCTAGCCTTAATTTGCATAGCAAATAGTTCTTGAGAATGTTGCCATATTTTGTTAGCTCGGATAATTTCTTTGGTCACTGATCAAGCTAACTTCGAAGGATAATTTCTTTGAAGGTTATAAAGCACACGGCTCGTGACAGTTCAGGGGAAGCTACTAATCAAGTGATTCAGTAAGCTCCGCTGATGCTTCTTTTGAAGCTACATTTATCTTACAAGAAATGTTGCAGTGTCTCGAAGAACTAAAACACAAAGCTTATTTCTATTCATGCATGCAGGGAGCTAAATAAAACGGTTTCAAATTTGGAGATGAAGTTAGCCGCTGTTAGGGCAACGCATGAATCTGTACATAATGGATATCCTACGTCTGGAAACTTGAAAACTGTTCAATCAGCTTCGAAGAAAAAGTACTTCATGGTTATAGGGATCAATACAGCTTTTAATAGCCGAAAAAGAAGAGATTCAGTACGTGCAACTTGGATGCCGCAAGGTGCATTATACATTTGGGTTTAATTTAGTTGCGATGTTGATGGGATATTTGAGTTTTTCTTGTTCTGGCTATAATTAATGGTTTCTCGTTGTGTAAATCTTTACCAGGTGAGGATAGAAAGAAGCTGGAAGAAGAGAAGGGCATAATCATACGGTTTGTCATAGGTCACAGGTGAGGTTTACCATGCCTTCTTTCACCCATTGTCAGTTACAATACAAAGCATCGTCCACCTGAGTCGCCACGATTAAGCAAAGCTAAATTCGTAGCTAATCTGGTTAAATGTTATGTACGTATCTAGTCATTTCGGCACTGAGACAGATTTAAAGGGTGAATCGCTGTATTCCCTGCCTGTATAACGGGTAGGCTAGCCTAATGAAGTCTTGTGGTGAATAAGCCTGCACATGATATCTGTTTTTGTTCTCGTTCCTAACGGTACATCCAGGCTATTGAATATGAACTGGTAAATTATGAATATTTATCGATTTTCCTATTGTTACCAGTCCGACAGCTGGTGGTATTCTTGATAAAGCGGTTGAAGCAGAGGAGCTCGCCCATGGAGACTTCTTGAGGCTGGTGATTTTCTTGCCCATTTTAACCAGAAATGTATTATCCGATGTAACATTCCAGTTTACACAATTTCTAATTCATACTATGTTTGCAGGACCATGTAGAGGGATACCTGGAATTATCAGCCAAAACAAAGACGTATTTTTCGACAGCAGTTGCCTTGTGGGATGCTGAATTTTATATCAAAGTTGACGATGACATCCATGTAAATTTAGGTAATATAAATTTAAGATTGTTTTCCACATCTGTTCATTTCCCCGAAGTTGCTCGGGGTGTGTTGCTAACATTATTTTTCTCAGCATTTCGATTTAATCCCTTTTCCATCTCGTTGAGTTGATTTGCCTTTCATTTACCACAGCAACGCTTGGAACGATTTTATCTAGACACCGTCTGAAACCCCGAGTCTATATTGGTTGCATGAAGTCGGGTCCAGTCCTTGCTCGAAAGTAAGCGCGTGGTCTGTTTATTTTTAGCTGGATGTATATTCAGATATTGATGAACATGGTTTTGATGGTGATTTTATTGTGCAATAGGGGAGTGAAATACCATGAGCCAGAGTTTTGGAAATTTGGTGAGATAGGAAACAAGTATTTTCGGCATGCTACAGGGCAGTTATATGCCATCTCGAAAGATTTGGCAACTTACATATCAAGAAACCAGTAAGTTCTCGCCTTGTCTCTTTTACGGAGCTAAATAAAACTCTGCTCGGAAAGTGTTGCTTCTCAAAAATGCCTTCAACCTTTTAATTTGATTCTTATTTCTTTCTTTTTCTCTCTTGTTGAAGGGATGTGCTGCACAAATATGCCAATGAAGATGTTTCGTTGGGAGCTTGGTTTATTGGTTTAGACGTAGAACAGGTGGACGATAGAAGACTATGTTGTGGTACCCCGCCAGGTAATTTGAAAATTCTATCGATTCTCCTTCTAGTAGTTCTAGCCTGAATGAGTTGGTTTCCCTATACTCGTTTGAGATGTAATTACAGAACATGAAATCTAGCGGTAAAAAAAAAGATAAGATGTTGCTTACACGCATTCTATATGGAGTTGACGTTGTAATATGTATACCAGATTGTATGTGGAAGGCAATGACAGGCAACACCTGCGCTGCTTCATTTGATTGGCGATGCAGCGGGATTTGCAAGTCTGTTGAGAGGATGATGGGCGTTCACGAGCGCTGTGGTGAAGACAAGAATGCTATTTGGAGTGCAAGATTTTCTCAGTAACCGGCTGATGCTCATCCAATCTCACGAGGGATGTGCGGATAGCCTGGAAAAGGCATGCAGACTTGTTTTATTCTTTTTTCAGGCTCGTTGCTAATAGAGAACCAAAAATATAGAATGCTTACAGTTTAGGGGAATGACAATGTTGTTCGGGGTGCCATCTGCGTTATTGCTGGTGAAATCAACCCCCGACGGCAGGTGAAAAAACTAAAGAGACGATGAGATAAATTTTTAACACCCCATTCTTTTGATGGTGGGGAGCTAGATTATAATTTCTATGCCACAGAAACTATGATTCTTAATATGTAGTAACCTTCAAAGTCTGCAGCACTTGCAGTGTTTTGCTTTCAAATTAATATTATAATGTTTGTTGCCCTCACTCACATTGATTACTGTTTAGTAGTAGTGTTAAAACGGTTATTACCATTGAAAGCGGGTGACTCCAAACCAACAAGGCTTCTCGTTTTAAGAGGGTCGGGTGGGAACGTGTATATACGCACCTTATCCTTATTTTGCAAAGAGATTGTTTTCACAACTCAAATTTGTGACATTTCAATCACAAAAAAAAAAAAAAAAAAAAAGCATTTTCATTGTGTCAAAACTCACCCTCGGTTATTATGATTAGTCTGTGATTATTCACAACTTTGGAATGCCCTTTATGAATCTTTAGAAACTTGCAGACAAATTAGGATTTAAT